GTACACACTTAACAGTGAGTAAAAACTAATCACAGTAAACAACATACACAGTAAACACTGCACAGTGAACAATTACATCCCCAGTCAACAATATACACACACAATATACACGCAATAAACACACTATACAAATTAAACACTCCGCATATCAGACATATGAAATACACAGTACACATACGAAATGACACACCAAACATCATTTTTCTCATTAAACACATGAAGTTCATGAGACATTTGATATTAACATCCACGCAGTCCACTTAAGCCATTCAGTTGTTGTCTTTGTCAGACATCTTCAACGATTTTCTCTGAACATAAAGGGGCCTTTTTTGGTTATGATCATCACTTCGTCATCACACTTAATTGCTTTCTCTTCTTTTATATCCCCATTTGATGCATCGACCATCTCGTTGTCAAAATATAGGTCAAGATGTATCCCTTTGTAATATATATTCCTTTTAGTGTGTATGACGTGTGCAGGGGCGTAGCTAAGTGCTTGGCATCCAGGGAAAAATTTTTATTTTTACGCCCTCACCCCCCAAAAATGAACTCTGAACCCCATTATTTTCACCAATAAAATACAATCAAAGCCCAGTTAGGCACCCCTTCCCTCCTTAAATACGCCTCTGGGTGTGTGAGATGTTACGTTTTGTTACACGAGGCAAGAGAATGAAAGTGAGCCCAGATTTCATCCAATGGGGAACATTCAATTGATCAAGAGCACGTGCTTACTTCGTGTCCATCTCACCGTTGTATGATCACTTGCTTGCTTTAAATCGTAATGTCAGTTTGATAAGATCATAAGATCGTCGTTAAATGAACAATACGTAACAAAGGACTGAAAAACAAATGAAATAGCAAAACGGGGTATGAGGAAGCTTGAATTAGAGAACAGGACAAAAAAATTAGGACGTTTCAGCATAGAGCCTTCTTCAGCACACAGGACACATGAAGATATCACAAAGAACCGTTCAAGAAACATCCATTTACTAGGCTTGAATGCAGTCCTTTAATTATTATATAAACTGAAAACCAGTATACAAGGAAAAAAGATACCAAAGATAGCGATAGTAACAACTTCTATTTAATTATACAATTAAATTATTTTTTAAAAATTACAAAACCAAATATACAGGAAAAAACTAGATTAAATTACAGCACAGTAAGTGAACAAGTGTAAGCTTCGAAAGATACAAGTCTTAATACACCCACAACAAGAGTGAAACCTTGCCAGGCTCCTATAATATGTGTATTAAGTCTCGTAAACCTCGTGTCTATGAAATCTATCAAGTCTCTTTCGACTGGGAAAGATGCAGGCCTATTTACAGGGGTGGAGTTAGAATAATCCAGAAAAGAAATTTGAGAAATTGCATCACCCGAGGCACTCTTTAGGAAAAAAAAATGGAAGGTTAACAACCTTTTCCCAATCAAGGAAGGGGTGTGTAAAAAGTATTCGTACTACCCATTTAATCGGTGACGTCAATATCAAAACACACCAAAAACAGGGGGGTGGAGGATACGTGGAACTACAGCTCTACGTTGAAGCAAAAATTGGGTCAAAACATAAGCTATAACAATTGTGCACTGGGTAATGTCAGTGTTATAAGATGATATTGTTGTGGCCCAGCACACTTTTAGACCATATGACCTCAATTTTTGGTTCAACGCTGAGTTGTATCGTAGATTTATCTCTCCTTTGCTTTTCGTTGAAAAGTTGGTTTGGAATAGGAACAGACGCACTTGGTAAGTTGAAAAGTTGGTTTGGAAGGAACAGACGCACTTAAGAAGTTGAAAAGTTTGTTTGGAATAGGAACAGACGCACTTGGGAAGTTGAAAAGTTGGTTTGGAATAGGAACAGACGAACTTGGGAAGTTGAAAAGTTGGTTTGGAATAGGAACAGACGCACTTGGTAAGTTGAAAATTTGGTTTGGAATAGGGACAGACGCACTCGAGACGTTGTACATCGTGATCCTAAAAAAACATTGGCCCAATTTAAGTCACATCCAAGCGGAAACTTTTTAGTGAGACTCAGGGGGCAAAATTTAAGTCACATACAGGGGGAAAAAGTAAGTAACTCCCAGGGGGCAACATTTAAGTCACACCCAGGTGGCAACAATTAAGTCACACCCAGGGAGCTACAATTAAGTCACACCCAGGGAGCAAAAGGTAAGTCACACCCAGGGATCAACAGTTAAGTCACACCCAGGGGGAAACAATTAAGTCACACCCAGGGGGCAACAATTAAGTCACACCCAGGGAGCAACAGTTAAATCACACCCAGGGGGCAACAATTAAGTCACACCCAGGGGGCAACAATTAAGTCACACCCAGGGGGCAACAATTAAGTCACACCCAGGGGGCAACAATTAAGTCACACCCAGGGATCAACAGTTAAGTCACACCCAGGGGGAAACAATTAAGTCACACCCAGGGGGCAACAATTAAGTCACACCCATGGGGCAACAATTAAGTCCCACCCAGGGGGCAACAATTAAGTCACACCCAGGGGGCAACAATTAAGTCACACCCAGGGGGCAACAATTAAGTCACACCCAGGGGGCAACAATTAAGTCACACCCAGGGGAAAAATTTAAGTCGTAAAGCTTGAGCATGAACGGCACACAGATCTGTGATAAGACCATGAAATTAAATGGATGTTGACAGCAGCTAAGGCAATGACCTCAGCTCATTACACTTATTCATGACACTGTAACTGGCTTTCAAGTTCAATTCAAACGTTATTTTTGGAGAGAGAAAAAATAAGTGTTCACCAGCTTCAATAAAGGGGTGGAGTTAAAACACTACGAAAATTATACCAAAAGGGGGGGGGGGGGCGCGACATTCTAGTGTCACATAAGAACATAAAAAAAACCTAAGATGTTAATGGGGACAAGATCTCTCTCGCCATCCCCCCCCCCCCCCACCCGGGCGCAACATCAATATTGCATATTTTAATTCCTATCTGTAATAGTAATAGATACCGGTATAATTTAAAAAAAAAACGAAAAAACTTCAAATAGAAAATTAGTGCATTGATTTCTAAATTTCTTTATGAACCCCCCCTTTTCCTCCCCGCGAGCGTTTAAAAAAAATTATGGCAAATTGAAACAAATTGTAAGGCTAAACAGTTATTGCTTTCATCAGGTCGAATTTATTAGTTCACATCAGCGTGCTGTACCCATTGGTGGTAGTATGAGGGTGATGGCACGGAGATCAGGAGGCAGGGTGGAGGGAAGAATTTGGTAGGGAGGTCAGCAGGTGGGATTGTGGTTAGGAGGTGAGTTGATGGTACTGAGGTGGTTGCACTGAAGGATTTTGTTATGAAGGTGTCATTTGTAATGAGGTGAGATGGGAATGGAGGGGGGGGGGTGTTAGTATGGTGTAAGATTGGGGATGTGGGGGTGTTGGTATGGGGTGAGACGGGAATGTGGGAATGTTGGTATGGGGTGAGATGGGAATGTGGGGGAGGTGGGAATGTGGGGGGGTGGGTATGGGGGGAGGTGGGGAAGTGGGGGTGTTGG